AGCAACATCCAATTCAAGCCTTGCTTCAACTCCAAAAGTAACTCATTTTGACTGGGGACTTCATCCCAGACTTAAGAAAGAGCAGAGTATAGACCTGGTCCCAAGAGGTAATAAATTGTTGAGGCAGGCCCAGTTTTGGCAGAGAAGTAAGTGCAGGCAGAAGCTCCCTTAAAGAGTCTAGCAGGCTCTGTTTTTCCCAGAGTTTAAAGCTCTCACCTATTCTCATTGGCTGCTCTTTTATTCGGTAGGCTAATTTATTGGAGTTCACAAGGAAGAAAAACTAGCATAGCACAACCATCAGCTTTGTCTGTGATAAATGACATATGCTGCTATCTTCATCTCAAGCAGGACCTACAGTTCCCCTGGACGAGAAAGGATCTGTGTGCATATGTGTTATTGCTGACTTGTGTTTAAACTGGGGTCATGTTTACATTCCATTTTACATTCAATGTGCTGATGAAAAACTGTAAACAAAACCTAAAAGGAGAACACAAAAATCTGTCAATGACAAAAAAATATACAAATCTTTTGATATAAATCTTTTCATTATTAATTTAAAGTTGTCTCTCTGTCTTTGCCGCATCAGGGTCCCCTGATCCCTGTTCCTGCTGCTGGCTGCCCCAGTGCAACATAGTCCCTCTTTTCCCAGAATAAAATTCTTTGGAAAGTCATTTTATATCACCCTTTGACTGTGCAGTGAACTGTAGAACCACCCCATTGCAAACAAAATAAAAGGATAGAACAGGGAGACAAGGGGGGATGGAGCAAGAAGGAGAATTCTAATTCTTTGCAGGCCTTTGGTATTAACCCAAACACTAGAGCTGTCAGCAGTTCAGAGAGGGAGGTGCGAGGGGCAAACATTCAGTGTTAATTGGCACTTTGTAAGTTCTGAGCCTTCCTTTTGTGAGGCAAGTGGAAGAGAGAGCAAGGGGGAGGCAGTCAGCAAAGGGGAGTGCAGGAGTGAGAGAAAGAGAGAGAGAGCGCTCCTGTTCTTGTAGGTTTGTTGGGCCTTGTTGAGGGTGTTTACGGTTCACTTCTTATCCATTGTTAATTGGACTTTCTCTTCCCAGTGGGAAAAAAAAGAATTCATGTAACCTTCAACCTGCCACCCATGATCCCTGTGACTCTTCACTCCAGCCTCATCAACAAGAGGGGGATAAATGACAAGTCCATAACCAAAGGATTGTCCTGTGGATGCCATGAAACTCTTAAATATTCACATCTTTCTTTAAGACTCTTATGGCATGAGATGCAACTGAAACCATTTGTACTGACTACTGCTAAACATGTTAAATTCGAGAAGATGTATTTAATCTGGAATGTCAGTTATTCTTTTTTGCTTCTTCGGGTGCCAGATATGTAGGAAGTTTCCTGCTAACCTAATCTGATGCCCCCTACTTTAATGATGCTATAGAAGAGCAGAAATAGAGCTAAACCAGCCCATTAAGTACAGGATGCAAAAATAGTGTTGTCCTCTGTGGATCCTCTTCTTCTACCAATGTGTTTGGCATTATATGAAATAATTAGATGATGAGATTGACAGTGAGAGAGAGAGAGATAGGAGGGCACCTGTCTTTGAAAGAGAGAGGGGAGGAGGGTTTGTTGCCATGAGGCTAGTGCACTCTGCTTCACAGCACCTCTGGTCTCTTTCTGTCTTTCTGTCCCACTGACTGATGTAAATAATAATAGTGCATGTACTGAAAGGACACAGGTGTCAACCATTGTGCTGCTCTGAATGGACCTGGGGGAAAGGAGGTCAGGGGTCAGAGGGCCACCTCAGCCACCTCTCACACCCATAGTTCTTATTCACACAGACCACACACACACACACACACACCACTCATTTACTCATTATTTATTATCATAGTTCAGTGTTTTGTGTGAAAGCTCCAGAGACCATGCATACACTCTGTACTCAGGAAGATTATCAGCCTTTTTCACTATTAATCATCTCACACAATTACATAGCTAAATGGATAGTGAATGAAGGAAATCTGAGATATAATGTAACATTCTCACCACTGAAAACTTACAAAATATTCACTGGATTTTTATCTGTACACTTCAGGCCTTTACTTGTACCAGACATATTTTTCTGTTATAGTTCATCCATATTCATTCAGGCATTTAGTCAGCATTCCACACTAATTGTCCTGTCATTCCAGATCCTGTTACTCCCACCCAGGCCCCGCCAGCCTTCCCAGTCACCTGATTCCCCACACCCACCTGCTCACCTGTTCCCCCTTCCTGCATCACCTCCCTAGTATATATACTGATCCATTTCCAGCTCTGCCAGATTGTCTATTGTGCCATTCCAGCTGTAATGTTCCAGTCTTTGTCAGCCAGCTGTTTTGACTACCTGCCTGTTTTTCCAATGTTTTTCTGAGCTGGGACATATTCAACAACATTATGTTGCAAGCTTCTATAATACAATTAAATATATGTTTTACATATGCAGCTCAATAGCACTGCAGCTTCAAAATAATTCACACTTTCCAGTATATTGTGAAGGCATTTAATAGAAAAGTTTAACTTAAAATAAAATACACTCGTTCACTTTCTTGCAAAGAGTTAAATAAGAAGATTGAGATTTCATTTAAGTACCTGGAGCCAGTAGCTAACAGGCTCAAACACTTAGCCTGGCTCTGTCCAAAATCTGCCTACCAGCACCTCTCCATCTCAATTTATATAAAAAGCAAAGTATAATACTGTTTGTCATTTTAGGGGGCTTACTATATGTGTCAAAATATTCGCTGGGATCAGCTGCTATAGGCAACCAGTGGAGATTATCAGGTTAGCCTACTGGACTTTATGCTAAGCTAAGCTAAGCTAAGCTAAGTTAACTGGCTTCTACCTCCTACACATTTATTGCACAGGCATAACAATTGTCTCAGTTTTTTCATTTAACTCTCAGCAAGAGCTAATTTACTGGCCAATATTTTTATAAGAAAGTTTTATGAATACATTTGACCTAAAACAGTACAGCTGAGACCAATAAGATTATAGAAGCCTACATTTTAAAAATTGTGGTAATTACATATTTCCGAGTGTGTGATGTTTCTTTAAGTAATTACTTTTAATTGCTCATTTTATCTTCTTTCCCAGAGTACTGTCTCCTTATATTACACTGTAACCTCACAACAGCACTCAGATCTAATATACATTCTGTGCTACAGGTTGAATATGGTTTAGTTTGCCATCCCCACTTCCACCTTCACACAGGAGGCTCCTGAGTTTCCACTCACTCATAACAGTTGGCCAACCACTCTCTAACCAGTGAAGGATAAATCACACACACACACACACACACACACACACACACACACACACATAATATATGCAGGACAGTGAACATGCATGTGTACACCAAGGCCGTCCTTTCTCTAGTGTTCAGAGTAACTCGTGGATAATGCCAGAGGGAGATTTGTGGAGCAGTGTCCTTTGTGCTGAAAGAAGCAGGACATGGAAGAGACATAAATTGGGATCCACAATGACTGAGGTGCAACACACTCCTTCCATGAATAGGCGACTATATATGGTATGAAAATGACATTTCTGCTGCATCAGCAAACTTTGTGGCAAATATAAAACTGAGGACATACTGTATTAGGCTATGTGGAAAAGGGTTACAGACCTATTTTACATGTCATTTGATTTTACTTCTGTAACTGGTCTCATTTTTTTATCTTTCAGCATAGAGATTAAATCATTTGCTGTAAAGCAGAATGCAACCTCCGTTAGACCTCTGCAAGCCAGTGTCCAGTTGTCCAGTCAGTCTGCCACCTTTCAAGTTTTATGTGTAGCCAGAAAAGCAGCCAGCCTCAGCTTTGGTCTTGGCCTTGACTGTTTGTAGTCATAATGAAAATGTTTGATCTTGATACTGTATAGAGCTCAAGTACAAGCCCTGGGGAAACACCCAGGATACTGGAGCAATATGATCCCTATTATGCACGTGGTGTGTAGTTTAATTTGCAGCATGTATGACAGTGGCTAATAACGGAGAAGAACAATATACTGTAAATACATCCATGGATGCATCAAGGCTTCAGTATTTGTGCTATATTTTGTGTGTGGGTTCCTGGCATTCTGCTCTCTTCCTTAGGAGGCCTCACCATATTTGTGTGTGTGACAAAGAAAGAGACAGAAGCTGCAAGAGGAAGGGAGAGTTCTTCTTTGCATTGTATCTGCAAGGAGATTATACCTTCTCTACGATGCTCTCAAATCATCAAGCATGTCAAGATAAGGACAAAGAGAACACATATTTCAATGACTTATCTCTGTCAGTCATATCCAGCAGAAGACCCCAGGAAAGCCGCTAAGTGCAAGAGAACTATAGTCCCCATTAAAAACCTTTATATGACAGATTCAAGGCCACTTATTTTCACTTTTTGTCGGGCAATTTATATGCATCCTGGAAAAACATTGTTTCTGTGTCTCCGCTTTTCAAATCACACCAAGTTTTAGAAAAGTGTTTTTTCTTTTCTTCTGACAATAACATCTCATTCAGGGTACAGTAGAAAACCATTCTATCAGCAGGGTACAACCTATAGTGTGTAGAACAATAAAGAAAAGATCCACCAATATGGATTGAGCCAACAGCTTCGCAAGAAGCCTGTGGTGCCTTTAGTGATGATGAACAAAGACACAAAGGATCCCACCGAGAAAGTCCTGCTCTGAAGGAAGTCTGCAACGCCCGCTGTGGCCAGCTATGGAAAGATGAAGCTAAATGAAATAGGGCAGAATGGAGATGGGGATGAATCTATGGGGCGAAGAACAGTGACAACAGGAAAAGGAAGAGGGGGGCTTAGGATTAATATGGTGATGGAGTTCTGAAAAATGGTGATTTGATCTGTGAACACACTCAGTTATGTTGTTTTGTCAATCAAAGACTTCATCAATCAGTCAATATAGACTTTATTTGAATAGCACCTTTCACATAGGATCCATGCAGCTAAATGTGATTTACAGAAGAGTGACAAAAAGAATAAAAGTGGACAAGAAAAAAACCTAAGTTGTAGAATTTGGTATTTGAGACAAACATTTTTAAACAATTTACTACCTTATCACCAAATATATGGCATTCTGGCATTTAAGATTTTTCTGAACAGGGAATGGACTTGGTTGCTGTAGAAAGAATGGAGTAATCTTACTTGACTACTTTGGCACTACTGCCCTCAAGTGGACGTTAGAAGTACTGTTCCATTCAACTTAATGGCTCTTATTCAACAGTCTTTGTATTGAATATGCACTTGGTTCTTACAAGCGTGCATGACTGAACATTCTAATTAAATACATTAAAAGTGTAATTCTGGGTGTACAGGGGCTGTTCCATTCATTTTAAATACATTTTTCAGGCAAAAATAATACATTAATCTGTAGTTGCAGAGTATATAATGATTCTTTGTGGCCAATATTTCTTTTTGGCCCACTGAGTAAAACTTCGTGTTGATCCTACCAGCAGGGGTGATATCTTTTTGTTACTTTCCTTCTTTTACCAAGACTGGCACAGAGATGATGTAATGTAAAAAGTTTGATTTCTAAAAATTGGTGTTTGCTGCTCTTTAGCAATACCCTTGTCAGGTAGCATGTTCTCCCACAGTGTGCTGCCAGTGCATTGTCTTCTGAGCAGTAAACAGAGTGGATTTTTACCTGTATATAGGAACTAACCCCCTTTTCCATCTATTTGAGGTAGACCAAAAAGAAACAGGTTTTCTTCCCTGTGGTCTTTATACGTGGACCTTTTCCAAAAGCAAGATGAGGGAAGGATGATTTTCCAACTGGAAGACCGGAAGACTGGGGTAAACAATCTGGGTGATCCACAATATGAAGGCTAAATGTAGGTAGTGGGATGCATCAATTATAAAGAGAAATATCATCATGTCCAGTGTGTAGTATGTGTAACATACATACACTACCAGTCAAATGTTTGGACATGTGTCCAAACCTTTTAGTGTTCAATTATATGTCCATTTATTGAACTGAGGACATGTACAGTATGATGGTACTACATTTCATGGGCTATAGTTGTAGGAGCTCTGAACTACATAATTTGTGACAGAAGGGAACCAGTCTTTGCTTAAATTCATAATGTAGGTAGACCAAGGGTAGTAAAGCTCCAGCTGCCTTGTAGCTCCTGTAATGATAATGTTCAAGGCTGCCTCTGTGGCAGGGTAGGGTTTTGCATCAATGATTCCCCTAGGACACAGAAAAAGACTATACTTAACTACAGTGGGTAGCACATAGTCAAATCTACACCTATTATTGGTGCCAAATATGTTTGCATTAATTGTATACAGACATGACAAACCTGATTTTCTCCATCGCTGAGTCAGTATCAATGAGCCCGAGTGTACATATAGAGATGGACACATTGCTCTTCTTCATAGATAGCTCATGCTGAAGGGCCCCAAAGAAACCATTCAAGGCAAATTTTGTTGAGGTATACGGTGCTACAAAGGGAGCAGGCATTTTACCTGTGAAACATTGATAACTATTAGAATGGGGTTTTATGACACAGTTTTGTCAAATGGGAAATATTCAACTCTATTTTGACCTTTGTTGTGCCTTATAAAAAATGTCTGTATTCACAGATTTTATCTATTTAATCTTAATTTTTTAAGAGTTCAAACCTTTACTATGATTAAATGTGGCACATTCAAGGCCACAGAATAGTTAATAAAATACAAGTGGCACTGCAGTACATAAATATTTTAATATATTTAGTATTTCCATATTTTTCAATGACAAAACAATCTCACCTCGAAGTCCAGCAGATGGAGTCTAAGATTAGACCTTAAAGGTGCTCTACCCAATTTCTTTTCAGCTGCTTGGTCGACTCAAAACTAACTCATACCTAAAAACACTCTTTGCATCAAGTGCAGCTTTTTTTTAACTAAAAATACATTACTGATAAGTAATAATGTACAGTATGTATGTGCAGAGTGTGCTGTTAATAACGTGTATAAAAATGCTATGCCAAACCTACCCAGCACTGATGAAACAATAACCAGTGATCCTTTACTTTGCTCAAGGGAGTCCAGAGCTTTCCAAGCCATCTGAACATAGCTGAAGAAGTTGACCTATGAAAAGCATACACACATACTGTATAAACAGAGATGGGTGGACTGTCCTTGTTTTATGTGCTGATAGACCATGAAAATGCTGCATTACCTTCATCAACCACCGGGTGTGTTCTACATCCCCATCCCACATGCTGAAGGGGCTGGAGCCAATGTGGTTGAGAACCAGGTAATCCAAGCCTCCGAGCTTTGCCAGAGCAAAATCTACCACTTTGTCAGGGTCTGACTCGCTGGCCATGTCTCCTGCAATGTAAAGAGCTTTCTGGGCTCCCAAACTCAGGCACTTCTCTGACACCTATAGTATAAGCAAAGATCATAAAGAATGGGTTACTTAGTCCAGTGCAGTTGAAGAAAATATTATACTATTACACCACTTCAGTCAATTAGAGAACACCTTTGCATATATTAACCTGATGTTTTCTGTCCTACTGGATTTCTATGAATGATTTGATCAGCACTGCAAAATCAAGTGACAGCAGTGAAGATAAAAATGTCTGCGAGTTACATTTATTGGTTCATAAAGCTGAGCTGTTACATTTGAGCTTTGATACAATTTAAAGTAGATGTTGTCAAGTTCACTGACCTGCTGTAACACCTTCTCTCTCCTTGCCGTAATGACTATCTGAGCTCCATAACGGGCATAATGATATGCGATTTGTTCACCAATTCCTGTACTGGCCCCAGTCACCAATACTCTGGCACCTCTGAGAGATTCTGGAACAAATTCATACAGTTTTAATTTTGTACACATATATAAACATACCAAATAAGCATTCAAATTTGAGTGGTGCTGACTGTTTGATTTTTTTGTTCACTGTGCATATATTAATCTAAACATCTGCATATAAAGTTTTACAACTAAATTTGATTACAGTGGACTGCTTATATCAGTTGGCCTATGCCACAGAAAGATAAACCAGTCAAAGCACACTTTGACACTTCCCAGCTTTGGTCTGGTCTGATTAGAGCACATGGTCTACCGTGAAGTGTGGACCATGTGGCTGGTGAGGCCTCAGTCACAAGCAGAAAGCTTGTGACTGAGACTAAGTCAGATTACCACCAACTACTTGCTCAGTTTGTGCTTAGCCTCTGAAATGTTTTCCATGGGAACATTAACCATTCATAATCCTCATTATTACACAGATCCTTTCTGCAGTGCAGAGCAGTAGCAAAGTACAGCACCTGTCACCCAAACAGTTGCATATTAAGGTTAAATAGTCCACATTCAAGTGTTGACCATATGACTGCACGGTCTCAATTTGGACTGAAATGTAGCTCATGGTATGGAGGGAGGAGTCTATAGAGATATTTTTGATTTAAGATGAATTAAATTTCACCATATTTAACAACATTCTTAATGCATTTTTGACAGTTTAGTATTTTTTTTTTTTAAATGTAGAATTATTACACTCATTTATTACAGAACATTTTCTGTGTCAACAATTCCAACAATGCATTTTAGCACAACCTTGGCAATATAGCAGTAAAATATTGATCTTGTAATAAGGCATTAGATGTAAGATTTTTGACATTATAAAGTTTTAAAATTAAGCTCTGAGGCATATAGTAGAGAGGTTTAGGAGAACAATCATATGTCAAAGGCATATGTACAGTACAGCCTGCTGATGTCACATTTCGTGCTGTAACCTAAATACACTAACCTTGTATTTTTTCCATCTTTTGAAATAATACAGTTCGTTTTAAAATACAAATGTCGCACATCTAAAGCTGACACAAAATAACTCCTCTTCTAATATTTACCGTCAGGTCAGGACGTTTGTTACACGTCCATTATAATGAGCACTTATCTAACCTGTATGATCATTATTAGACATGATTATTGGTTATTTTACTGTAGTGTGGTTTCATTGTTATTCCATTTCAATTATTTTCTCCTGGATGAGAATTCAGCACCGATAATTCTGTCAGTCGATTACACGAAAACGTTACATTGTAACACTATGGTTCACCTGTCAACGATCACCTGTTACCTGCATCAAACCCAGGTGAAGTCCATTTGACAGCTAGGAAAGCAACGCATATACTTGCTAAAAGGAGTTTAATGAGACGTCCCATTGTGTACACTTGGTTGGAAATAGTTTGACAGCAGTCGTTTCCAGAGCAGACATTCACGGGGAGGGGTTTAATGCATGAGGTTTGCAAACAGCTTTTTATGTGTTACTGCCACCTTCTGAGTTGGCGTGTGGACCATCTCACATACTGCATTCCCCCGTCAAGTCCCGTTTTCCCTGAAACATATTGATGCTTTATACCCATTATCAAGCATTCACATGTAAACCATGACGAGCTAAATGTTAATTAGATTATGGATCATAAGCAGGATTACGTCTAGTCTAATATGTCGTGACGTTAAATATAAACAGTAACTTTAGAAAACATCCAAACATGCAACATGTGAAATTGTATCCTAAACAATCATGGGAACGCGCGCGACCGTACGCGCACACGCGTCGCAAGCAGCCCCTTCTGAAAATAGTCCCCGCGCGCATGTATGCATAGCCAACCGCATGATATTAAAATACATTTTCTTCTTTACATAGTAGTTTGGCAATTAAAAAAAAAAGAGTCAAAATTGTATGGTTAAAACAAGTGTGATGTTACGGGCTGCTTCATGGGGCCCATTCCAGAGACTGCATAATTAAAAGATCGGATCTCGTCAGTTTTTGTTTTGTTTTATTCTGAATACTCTTTAGAATAAGACAAAGTCCACACGGATCATCATTCAGTCTACCTATAATTCAAACATCTGGATAATGTTTAGTCCTAAATAGCTGACAAATCTCTGCTGAAATATTTCACTCTGTAGCTATATCCACTATTTTCATATAGAAATTTTAGCCTGAGTATAAACAGCAGCAAACTAATAAAGTTTTTATTTCATATAGGCTTCACCCTGCAAGAGCTGTCACTATTGGGCTTATCCCTCACACATGCACAGTCCTGAAGAGATTTCACCCTGCGCGCTGCCCTGGGCCGCACCCTGCCCTGGGATGTCCCCAAACAGGTCCGCTGTGCTGGCATAAATGCCCACGTGACCTGAAATTGGCTCCCTCTTTTTCTTCAGCAGTCTAACGAGCGATTCCTTAACTATGGCTAAAGAGCAAAGATCTTCAAACCCCGGACTCCAGCACCGCATCGCCATCACTGTGTGCCTAGGCTTTGATAGGGGCTTCATCATGCTCGACAATCCACACCCCTGCTGCGAGCCCTGCCTTGGTGCAGAGCATGCCAAGCTGGCACTCGCTCCCCAGGCTGCTTGCCCCTTCTGTGCTTGCTTGCCTGCGGCAGAGAAGCAGCGCCGGGCAGAAGCATTCACAGCTGTCAAAGAACGAGAGCCTAATGATGACCGCAGCTGAATTGTGGTGACGATTCCCTGGTGGATGATCCCTTGGAGTTCCTCGGCGAGTCCGTTGACTCGCTTCCTTCCATTGCTGGCTTCCCCCAGCTCTCCCCTCAATCCATCAGTCGACATGAATGCTGGCAGAGACAAGCTTCCTCCAGCTCAGCAGCACAGTCAACCTCCGGTCAACCCCCCTCCCCAACGGTGGCCCAAATTTCTCGCCATCCAACCCTTCTTCTCAGACACTGCTGAGCATCCTGGAAGCCTGTGGGCTCTGGTCTCCTGCTTGGATGCCCTCAACAGGGTACAGGGGATGACAGACCTTGGCTTTCCTGCCATTCTGCTGCTGGAAACAAGCATCTTCTCTATTTTGCTTCCCAAGGCAGAAAGAGATGGCCAACACTCTCCATGCTCCTATGTGACCAGGTCACTACTCACCTCTCAGACCAAATTCACCAAGTTGCAGGTGCGGCCATCAACATCAACAATGTGGTTCTCAGCTCTGCATCGATCTCTTGCCTCGCTGCACAGCCCAGGGTCCTCCCTGTAGAGGCAGCAGAGGAAATTGGAAAGGTTGCAGCAATGACACTCTCATCTGCTGTGTGGATCAAAACCTGGGCAACAGTGATACAGCACAACATCTGGTTCCACATGTCCCAGATGCCGAAGCAGAAGACCCCATCAGCCCTGACAGACTTTTTGGCCCACACCTCCAGGAGGCCGTCACCCACATGCAGCAGGCAGCTGACAAAGCAGACCAGGCAAGACGACCTGCGTCATGGGGACGGCAGCACCCTCGAACCCCCACTGGTCAGATTGGCGCAGCCACGGAGGTCAACACCACAGAGCAAGGCATCCAGCATCTGCTGCTGTGCATACTCCACTGCCGAGCCCTCCACCTTCTCCTCCCCTCCTGCCACCATAACGTTCAGACAGGCTGCCCCACAGTGCTCCTAGACAAACCCCCTTGCTGAGCCTCCCCGAAAACAACGGCAGTAATGACAGGAGACAGGGAACGTGTGTGAATCCACAGCTGGACACAGCGGCCCCTTTGAGGGCCACCACCATATCCATAAAGAGCAGATTCCTGACAGTGTTTTCTCCTCTCTCTCCGAGTGTGCACTGCCTTTTTACATACACACGCGCGCTTCCCCACCACACTGCTCTCTCGTTGCACAGACGGAGCCAAGGGATGCACTCAACATAACTCATTCTCTCCCCATTGTCACATCTAACAAAGCATTCTCCACAGCGGTGGACTTAGCAGCATTGCCTCAGTCCCTCTGCAGGTTCCCCACCTCCTGCCCATTGGTGTGTGGGGGTGTGTTATTAACAAAGCATTCTCCACAGCGGTGGACCTAGCAGCATTGCCTCAGTCCCTCTGCGGGTTCCCCACCTCCTGCCCATTGGTTGGTGGGTGTGTATGTGTGTGTGTTAGTGGTGAGAAGCTGCATATATGCTATTGTAACCAGATGTGATCAATGAGAAGCAGGTGAAACCAATCTGTGTGATGAGATAAAGTTCCAGGACAGGAAGTAGTATCAAAATAAAAGCATGAGACAGGAAGCAGACAGGACAGAAGCATGACAGGATGTCCACTTCAGGTCCTGGGGGATAGTGGAGCCAAGGAACTTGTAGGACTCTACTGCTGATACAGTGCTGCCAAGTATGGGGGGCTCTTCCTGAAGTCCACTGTTTTGAGCGTGTTCAGCTCACAGATAAATATAAATACTCATACTCATAACCATCGATATATCGCCTATATAGCATTTACTATACAGTAGGTCTAATGAATGTGATATAGAAGAATGTTATTTAAACAACAGTTAGCCTGTTTGGAGACAAAGCTGGCCTACAGGCTGGAGATTTCTAAAGTTTTATTGATTTATTGGTTCGGAACTAACGGGATCTGAGTGTTTCTGTGATTTCTATATTGTTGGAAACTGCTTGGACTTCAGCTTTTTGTCACTTAAAATATCTGCGTGCGGAGGGCAGTAATACGCCCAGACGCATCTACACTGCCTTTGCTCATACAAGAAGAAGAAGAAGAAAAGCTTTATTGACACAACTCCCGTGCACAGGGTACTAGGTTGTCCTTCAGTGCAGCTAACCGGATAGCTTTCATTCCAGATTATTCTTTTTGTGTTTAGGATAACATTAACTCTGGTAAAAAAAGGGAACTGCACCGCTGTGGACCATGGCAGTAAGGATGTTGCCCGTGGTGAAGTTAGTATTTTTAATTTCATCCATAATTTAATTGCCTTTAAGTTATTGCTGCTGTGGCTAGGTGCTAGCTGCTCTTATAGCTAGACAGGTTAGCAAAACGATGCTAACGTGAGCTTTGAGTCTGTCCAAGAGCTGTGCAGCTGTTACTGTACCTCTGCCACTTTGCTTACTGTTTGGTTAATTAGTTAGAGTAGTAATTTGTCAGTAACCTTATTTTATTCTGCACAGAGCTGTTGCATTTGGCCGTTATTTGATCATGTTTTGGTAACCACTCAAACATTTCTGACATCAGGAGGCACCCTTAACCCTGTAAAGCCCAACATATAAAAAAAAATAGCCAGATCATTCTAATTTTTTGGAACTGAGATGTTTATTAAACCTTTTAACAAAATCCAAAATATAATTCATGATTTGAAATTCAAGATTCACGATTTTTATTAGCCATATATGCATAGACAGACAGTCCGGGCATATAGGAATAGAGGTGCTATATTATTTAGATTATTTTTATTTCTTTTGTATCACATTTGATATATGGGGCATTTTTTGTGATTTTTTTTGCTCAGAAACCTCACGTGTCAAATATGATACAAATGGTTTTATAGGGTTAAGAGTGCCTTTTGATACATTACCTGTATCCGTGTTTTTGACTGAATACAGGGCTAAGTATTTCTGACTAATGGCCTGACTGGTTTTCATTTCTAGATTGGCCACCAAGATGACCATTGCAGGAGGGGCTCTCTACGTTGCCTGTGACTATGGTTTGTTGGGAAGCAGTGAGCAGGGCTCCAAGGCCCTGGAAAAGGCAAAGGCTGCACTGCCTCCTGCTATAGAGGAATGGATGACGTACTTAGGCCTGGAGGTACAAATGTATCTGCTGCCACTGCTTAAAGTTAGCCGACATGTATGCCTGAGTGATGGCCTCACATAAAGTTGTGTCATTTCTGATCCTGGATAGCACAATGTCTAGTACTGTAACTTAGGTATCATAATGTAACATGAAATAAACAGTTGTCAGTAATAGGCATGGCACACTATTTTGTCAAATAAGTAACACTGTGAATGAAGTGATCAGCCTAAATTATCCTTCATATTTCACTTGCCATCTTATTTGATGTTGTTTTCTAGTGTTAAAGTATTTAATTTGAATGCAGCATAAAATAGACAACTACAAAGCCTTATATTATGCTGTTTCAGGCTCAGCTTCCAACCATGCCAAAGATTGAATTCTCCCCAGTTCAGGCATGGAACTCTGGTAAGAACAGAATAAGAAACTTGTCACATTGTTTGACTAATGTCATGAGTCTGTGTTTTTGAGTGTGCTCAGATTCAAAATTGTGTAAGTCACATTAGATGCAGCGATTTTGTTAGCATTTCACTGGGCTAGTAATCACCTTTAACATCACCATTATGACTTTTAGATTAGTAGTTGTGCCTTTAGTTAAGACATTTTGCTTATTTTTGACATTGCAAAACCAAGCCATGTTTTTCTTTTATTGCAGGAGTGCGGTGGACAGTTGCAGCTCTTTCTGACGCTCCAACAAAAGCAACCGAATACACAAATCAGGGTTGGCGTTACCTGAAAGACCTTACTAAGTAAAGAGGAACTCTCCGTGTGTCCTGAGATTTATCTTTTTGACTTTTGCACTTGGAGAAAAGAAAAAAAAACAAAAAAAAACTGACTGCTATTTCAAAAGTTGTAGTCCCTCACAAGAAAAAGCCAATATGAAAGAAAACTGTTAGATGAAATTCAGCTGCAAGACGTGTACTCTCCCGAATGGGTACTGGGATTCACTAAAGGATAGTGGCATTAGCTGGGTGTCTGTAATGCGATAAAGTGTTTTAAAGATGTTTTTTCATTTTGTGTATACCACAAATTTGTGTAAGCAAAATTTTTGCTGCCTTTTTCTGAAACCACCCAAACAATGTCATGAAGACGATGTCTGTTGTGAAAATTTGGCTAAGTACTACATAAATTTTAAAATGGATCAGGTCTTCAGTTTGATTTATTGAGATGAAATGTATACTGAATGTTGACCATAGCAGTGTGCTCAAAGAATAAGACCAAACAAATCTGTAAAAATCTTTATTATGCATGACTAATAATGACACAAATTGCCTGTTGATGCTGCTACAACTTCAGGAGGTGGTGATTGAAAGCAAGAAGAGCGTGCATTTGTAACTCCACTCTACACAACATAGAAACACTCCACAGCACCACTAGCAGTGACATACAGTGTTAAGACTTTTTTGTATTTTAATGTGAATTAAACATACAGTACTGATTCTGCCAAACACGGTCACTTCTCCACTGTCAAAGCATGGTTTGAAATTCTCTAGGAGCTCTGACAGCTGAACGGTAACATTATACCTGCTGTGGTGCTATTTACTGAGGGTTACACTAAATGAATTTCAGATGGGTAAAGCCAATTAAGCAAATAAGACATAGTGACAAACTTAGAATGTAATCCATACTGCATGCCTACATGTCATGTTTGCAAGACAGAGAGAGCAAGTATATATTGAGTTAGTTGCTGTTGACAGACTGGTTTGTCAGTTGATTATATATGTTAAATATCCAGTTGATAATTCAAATATATATATAATGACCCTTTCCCTAAATGTTGGTGTTTTAATGAGATATTCATATAAATGAGCATTGACAATAGGTAACATTACAAGGAATTTTACACAAGTTGTATACATTAAATACTGTCTTCTGAATGTATTGCAGCTAGCATTGTTTTCCCTTTTCTTTATGTGGGTGACATAATGCATTATTTTTCAACATTTGCTCTTAAGGAAAAAGCATTTTGGAGAAACTATACCATGACCTCAACATTGTAAACTTTATACAATTAAAGTGCTCCCCACAACATCAATAGTGAGATACAACCAATAATGACGTGTGTTATATTTAAAGAATGTTTTCATACTACATTAAGAGCAAAATACAGCACTAATATGAACTGAGGGTAGCAAACAATTGCCACTTCTGAATGAAAACTAAAACAGCAGACTTCATATGCATTAATTATTAAAAGCAAAGCACCACAGACCCACTATGTACAATATTGCAAAATGCCAAGCCAAAAGGCACTTGATGATTTGTCTGGGATCAAATTCAAATGGGAATTTAGCATCTTAATTACCAGCACAATGAATTTGATGTTCCCATGCTGTTAAGATTTAAAGCTTACAGAGAAACCTTCCTTCAAGATTACACTAAAAGATGTCCAGTGTGAAACTGTGACTATTATAAAGCTATGCATACTACAATACTAAATATGGTGCAAAAGTGCAGTAAGATATATCTATATGAGCATAATCCATCTGAATTGCTTTTGAAAATATTAAGGGCTTCATTAAGGTGATTTTGGAAGGCATTTATGCAGTGGAAAATGCACATCCCAAGCTCATTAGCTAGTTAGTTAATCCAATAAAACTAGTTTTATTTTGAACAATGCTTTAGTCATACTAGCATTAAGATAATCACAGATCAGATCAGCGAGTATCTCAGGGATTGGAAATGCAGCATCAACTGCACCTTGCAGCTATTAGGCAGTGCAACATTGGACTGTCCAAACACAAAAGTATAAAGTAGAGCAGCAACAATAAAACAATGTGACCCCCTCTCCTTGAAATAGCCAAGCATAACTGTGCTACAGTTCTGCTGCACATAAAAAACTGATTGCACTTCTGAAAAACAAAGCATACTCCTGCCATGGCTTTGAGTAACAGAACATAACAATGCGTGGAGCAGAAGCATACAGAGGGGAATCTGGAGAGTGAGATAAATGTGTCCACAATCTCTAGGTAGTTTTGACCAGGTCATAGACATGGATATGAAAGTCATCATCATATTTGATGTAGTAGACAGAGGGCTTGGTTGGAACCTGGTAAATGACCAGGCCTGTTCTCTTCATACCCTTGTCGGTAACATATTCTACTTGTTTCCCCACCAGACTCTCTGTCTCTTCTCCTGGCTTCCTGTCTGCAGGCAACAGGTGCTTATTTTCTGAGGAGAGGAGTGAAACGTCACATTAACATTACAATTCCATTTGAATTTGATCCAAATTAGTGTCTGTTCTGTAACTCACCAAACATCACCTACTTAAGGGATCATAAAGTACAAGTGCTACATGTCTAAACAGAATGAGTTTATTCTGTTAGACTGAAATAAAAACAGTTTTTACAAGCATCAGTATTTTGAATAAGGCCTCAATATTCTGATATTCTACTGATTATGAGTTAAAGGAAGTCACTTTCAGCTTTTCCCATTTAGGGGTCGTCACAGCGAATCGTCACACTGACGACTTGCATGTTGACATTTGGCGCGTGCTTTATGCTGGATGCCCTTCCTGACGCAACCCTGATTCAAACCCGTGGCGCAGCGCTCTTGCCGCTGCACCTTAACCACTAGCCTACCAGGGACGGCTATAGCTGATTATGAGTTACTTTGAATAATTATGTGACAAATGATTTGTACACTCTAGTTTAGAAAACAGTAATTTGTGCATGTCAGACATACCTATTACCTCCCCAACAACTCCAAACACTTGGCTCTCATTATTTAACTGTTACAGAAATATTTTCATGACCATAAATATCTAATCTTCCCAAGAAAACAGTGTCTGATTTAACCTCACTCTTACTTGCATACATTGCCTATAAAAAGTATTAACCCCCTTGGATGTTTTACCCTTTTATTGATTTTATAAATCATGGTCAATATAATTTGGCAAAAAAAATTTGACAAAAAAAAACAAAAAAAAACAAATACAAAAAACCTCTTTAATTTCAAAGTGAAAACAGGTTTCTACATTGTAATGTCAAACAAAAATATGTAATGTAAAATAAGTGATGACATAAATATTCACCGCCTTCAAAATGACTGACCTAATTCAACAGAGGTCCAGCCAACTGGTGCTAGTAGTCTCACAATTAGTGAAATGGGGATCACCAGGGTGCAATGAATGTGTCTCAAGCGATTGTAGTATAAAGACACCTGTGTCTGGAAGGTCCAGACACTGGTTAAGCAGTATTCCTGGCTACCATTACACCATGAAGACAATAGGACACTCCAAGCACCACAGAGAAAATGTTATTGAAAAGTATAAGTCAGGGGATGGATATAAAAACATTTCCAAGGCACTGAACGTCCCCTGGAGTTCAGTTAAATCCATCATCAAGAAATGGAAGGAACATGGCACATGGCCACTGTTGAAGAAAACTCATTAAATCTCAACTACAGTTCACCAAAAGGCATGTGGGAGACTCCATGGTCAAGTGGAAGAAACTTCTTTGGTCTGATGAGACCAAAATGCCCTGGAAGGCTTGTAAAGGTAGAGGGTAAAATGAATGCAGCAAAATATAGGAAAATCCTGAAGGACAATCTTCTTCAGTCTGCAAGAGAACTACGGCTTGGGAGAAGATTAATTTTCCAGCAAGACAATGACCTGAAGCATACAGCGAAAGTTACACAGAAATGGTTTAAAGACAACAAGGTGCGAGTTCTGGAGTGGCCGAGTCAAAGCCTAGACCTCAATCCAATGGAGAATTTGTGGCTGGACTTGAAAAGGGCTGTTCACACCCGATCCCTGTGCAAGCTGGTAGAGCTTGAGCAGATTTGCAAAGAAGAATGGAGTAAAACTGCAGTGTCCAGATGTGTAAGCCTGACTGAGATCTATCCACACAGACTCAGTGGTGTGATTGCAGCCAAAGGTCCATCTACTAAATACTGACTTGAAGGGGGTGAATATTTATGCAATCACTTATTACATTAAAGAGTTTTTTTTGGTCAAAAAAGCCAACTTATATTGATCATGAATGATTTATAAAATCAATAAAAGGGTAAAACATCCAAAGGGATGAATACCTTTTGTCACGAGTGTCCAAGACTGAAATAACAAAAAAAAAAAACAAAACAAACAAAATGCTTACTATAAATTATCTATTTTTGTCCAGGAAAAAAATCTTCCAAACTGGAAGACTGATTGATTGCATTGCTCTTAATCTCATCTCTACAGCAATAGGCATAATTAAAGGCTAGATAAAGATTTGTGATGTATCAATCTGTTTTTGTTATACACAAATTACCAGTACCTGCTTCAGGCAGAATCCTGAGGTCTCCATCAGCGTAGTCATCCCACAGCTGGTACATATAAAGAACAGGGTCCTTTTCATAAGTGATATAATACCAGTTGGTCATGATTGGAGCTCTGGAGAGGACCATGCCTCGCCACTCATTCTTCTCTCCATCCTCCTTCTCAAACAGATGCTCCACAGCTTTGCCCACCAGCTCCTCCACCCCTGGAGGTATCTTGATTTTATTGTTTACTGTGGAGACACAGGTACAAAGCATGTACAATATGAAAGAAAGAAAGAAGACCATATATAACTCAACTGTTGCACAAGAGTGCATTTCATGTCTATTAGCTGATAAATGTATGCGTAACTTCACTTCAGCATCCAGTTGATCAAAGTAGCAGGCACAGAGTAAAAGAGAAGCTTATCCTAACTCACCAACACTTTCTGACAGGACCTGCAGGTTAGACACCCTCTCGTCCTTGAACAGCTCGATGCCGTAAACGCAATCAAAGCCATCATACTTCACCATGAAGAGAGAAGGATTTACACTAAGCCTGTCCAGCACTGTTCCCTTCCATTTGCTCTGATTCCCCTTCTCACGCCAGTTATGTTGAATGCGGACTCCCAGAATGCTGTTGGGGTCTGGGGTTACTGTGTCACTCAGCTCCCCGCTGCTCCGCTTTCTGGTTTAAATGAAGATGTAGGTCTGTGTGTCCGTGGTTAAAGTTGAAAACAAAGCATGCACCTTTCACATATGCAAAATGTTTTATGATATCAGGCTATGATAACATCTAAAAACATATTTGATATATTTCTTGAAAGCTACTGTGTGTTCAACTGAGGTTATTCTACCATTTTATATGCAGCTGATTATTTAAATCAGTGCTAAATTAAATTTTTGTTCTAGCTGTAGGACTGAAATAAGACTTTAGTAAATCCCAGTTTACACCTAAAGTAATGTTGTTCCATTTTAGTTTTATTGTTACAGTATATTCAAAAAGCACCAATGACACCATATGATGGCATATACAATAACTTTGTTTCTACATACCTGCCCCTTTTCTTGGACATGCCTCCAGAGGTTCAAAGGCTACGGATTAAGCGAAAGACAGGGCAATGGGTTTATGTTATATGAGTGGGTATGAGAGCGACCAAGCTTCACAAGTGCAGCATGCTAAAACATAAGGAAGGCCTCTGGATTAGCTGAGAGGCTCGACTGTCAGGAGATTTGTGACAGGCTGCAGCCCGCTCGACAGAGAGTGACAACTCTGACAACCAATGGATCTGCATGATGAAATAACTTCCTGGGTATTTACTTCAACTACAAAGCTATGGAGGTCCGTGTTTGTGAAGCCGTGTAACCTAGTTTGTCCCTCAGAATTAAAAACTCACCGACACAACTTCAAGAAAATACACAATGCTGGGTATACAATGTTAAGTCATTTCACTTAGCCATCAAATTATAGCATTTAAACGCTAGCCGTCTCATTTAAAAACGTATAGATTTGCAACATAGCTGCATATAAAATATGACAAGGCGACGCCGATAAACTACGCGACAAATCATGTCGTACCCCACCTGTCCTGGACTAAATCCAACACACCTATACCTCCCGTCGTAAGGTAGCACTCTTCTGTCCTAGCTTTACCTCAATGCAGACGCTACTGTAGATAACTGTTGGGTTAAGTGGAGGAGGCTAGCTACACCCACTCTTCGGTGTCCTCAATGGCAGCTAACAAACACTAGCGACAACTGGTTGTTAACAGCCTTATTCTCCCTTTAAACATATTGTCATTACCTTTATGCTGATTTCATATCAGTATTGTTCAGTTCGTCTGGCAGGGAAATGTTGCCACACACCAACCCTCCAATGTAAATCTCGCGAAACCTGTGGAAAATGGGAGGTGGCGAGAAAAGACTCTAGTTCCCAGTGAGCCTTCTGTTACAATGGCCTCAGAGAAGGACGTTTTCACGCGCGCAGTGCATAATAGGAATTGATGTTCTAATGATGATGACTTGGACTTTTAACGACACAACCCAAGTAAACTGTTGCAGAAACGTGCTGCATGCTGCGTTCGAGTGTTTTAGGAAATAGCGCCATGACACAACCTACAGTAGTAGCTAAAATGAGGTCAGGGTTTTCTGTGATACAACAGCAGGCTCAAATCTTAAAAAGAGGAAGACAGTATCTGATAATTGTTATATAGTATAAAATATAAAACAATATTATAATCATATACATAATAGTAGCCTATAATCAAATGTAATATGATTATGTTTCTAAATTATATGTTTAACATAAGTTTGAGAACATCAACTAAGGTAACACATGAGGCACATTTTATTTTATAGCATTACTGCTGCAGAACGCATTACATCTGGTCTAAAAATAACTAAATGGAATAAAATGGAACTTTTGCCTGTTCATCATTGTGAATATTTTCCATTTTAATAATTTCAACAACAACAGCACATCCAAAATGTAGGCTCACTGGGACTTTACCATAGGCACTCAGAGTCAGCCTACCTATTAATGACCAAATTTTAAAATGATCTTAAAATATTAACTGAATGCACATCACTAATAAAGGCAGAATGAATCAGAAGAATCATATTCTCCACTCACTTAGGATTAACAATTTGTATATGTGGGCACATAATTGAGAATATGCACTTGACACCTGCCACATTTCAGAGTGGTGTTCATACTTTGATACACCCCCAATATCTAAGTTACTAATTATATTATAAAGATGCATCATAGCTGCACCCTACAAGCTACAGACTGCAAAATGCAAAAGATATCACCCAGACAACTAGATTCACTACATCTATCCAGACTTAACATGTATTTCAGCTGCTCAGCTGTCCTTAACTCTTTATATATTGAACCAATTTCAGTGGGGGCACATCCACACTACATGAATTTGGCCACCTACCAACCAAATATGCAAACATGAGCAAAACTTTGACATGTAAATGCACAACAATTTTCTAAAGTTGTAAAAACAGAATATGGGGTTCATGCTTTTATTCATCATGTTATGGTGATATCACTGTTTGACAAATATTGTCATGCATGGGAATTTACCTGACATCTTCAGTTTTAGTTTCTGCATTCAGCTCAGAACATCTTTACTTCTTTTGGATAAACATATTTTACCAGACTCAATTTGACTGCATAATGTACAACACAAAAAAAAGGTGATAACTGGTCCAGCTCACAAAAAACACAATTTATCACCACTTCACAATGACCATAGCACTAGATTGTAAAACAGATATTAAACAACATACCATCACATGTTTGCACCTTATTCAGAGCCTTGACTTGATCAACACAACTCAGTCACTGATACAGAGAAATTAGCATACAGTGTCATTTGATTAATTGTTATTTAACACACTTGTGATCCAGGTTGAGAAGGATGATATGCGCGTGTAGACATCAGGGGTTCTGGGGTCTCCACATCGCCGGCCAGAGAAGGAGACAATGCCTGCTGCAGCTCCATCACACACTAACGGACCACCTGAATCCCCCTAGAAGAGAAGTGATACAAGACAGTTCACAGTAGGTGTAAGTGGTTTAAAATAATTTACATGACTTTTTTCTTTGCTTACTATTGCTCTCACCGAGCAGAAGCCTTGAAGAACCCTCACTCCAATCCCACAAACCATCGAGCTGGTGATTGGAACCATTCCCCATCTCTTACGACACCTTTGCTGTGACAGGATGGTTACGTTGACTTCCTGAAGTGTGCTTGGAAGGGTGTTGTTATCCCCTATATCTCCCCAGCCAGCTGTGAGGCACTTGTTTGCTCTGCCCAGTCTGCCCGCATTCAGCGAGATCAGCTGCACTGCTTCAGTGAGCTGGGCTCTGCCGTTGAGCTGAGACAAGAAGATTTATTGTAGAAAAAGTACAAATTTTGTGTAATCTTAACATCATGTTTTATGTTTTTGTGCAAACTAGAAACATTGTGATTCAGTGTAGACAACAGTTTAAACCTTCCTCACCTTTAGGAGCATGATATCATTGGCATGTCCATCGTAGCTGGGATGTGGAAAGGATCTGACAGCAGTGAACTCTTGTTGGGTATCCTCATTACCTGACAGGGAATCAGCTCCAAGCACCACTTTGTATGGCCTACAAATCATAATTGAATGGTGACTGGAAATTAGATATGATGTTTAGGCTGCTCAATATTTCTCTTGACAGAAATCATTTTCCAGGGGATTTTGCGTGTGTGTGTGTGTGTGTGTGTGTGTGTGTGTGTGTGTGTGTGTGAGTGTGTATTGAGATAAAAGAACATGCTGACAAAAACAATCTGTGATGAGAGAGATTGTGATTGGCTTTCAAGTGATTTCAAATCCCAAGGTAAATGTTATGTTTGTTGAAGTAGTATGTTAGAGCTGCCAAAGAAATGTTAAAACAAAAAATTCTAAATTCTTACACAGGTATCGCACAATGTGCTGCTGTGAGCACAAAGTCCTCTCTCACCAGTGCTCCGCCACAGTTATGCTGACCTCGGACTTGCAACGAGGCCATGTAGGGCCGCGAGTGGGAGGCGGCATCTCTGCCTCCAACAATATGAGAACCGTCAGCTCCTGAAAACGGAATATAGACTATTATTTGCTTATGCAAAGCCAACTTGATTTAGATTTGTTATGTTTAATATGCATTGAAACAAGGTATTACAAAGAAATCCTGGCTGTTTGGCTGCTTTGGGATGTTTATCTTAAGGATGGCTGTAACTGACCATTTAGGACAAAGATCAGCAGGAGGATAAAGCTGCCTACCATGGTCTCTGCTAAGATGTGTACTTTCCCCTCTTGGTCTTATAGTTTTTAGAGAAGAATTTGTGGTCTTTATTTACTGACATGCTGTGGGTCTGGTTGTGAAGTAGGTGGGGTTACAACAGACGTGGTTGTAGATTTCAAAACAGCGTTTCATAACTGATGCAAGGGGCCAGTGGAGTTTAAACTATTATACCTTTACAAGAGACAACACATCTAGCGATGAACTGAAAGGCTTAGATTTAATTCTTGTAAGCCTTTCTTTCCTCTTTTCTCTCGGGTTACATCATGTTTGTCTTAAAAAGAGTGTGTTCTTAAGAAACAGAGTGGTTTTGTGTTGAGTTTCTTTGCTGTGGCACTGGAAGAAAAATATTTAAATTCACAGGTAGACCAGTATTAAACTTTGATCAATGTACTTGATGCCACTTTAAGATGGGCAGATTATGAAGCAGACTGATGAACCCTCGGCAGGTCAGAACAGCCTTTATAGTAACACTCTGATGAATTTGAACATTGGAAAGTATTTGCACTTGTTTTATTAATATTATATTTCCCAATGAAGAAAAACTGAACATTGGAAACAACATTATACACTGCTCTAATGAGGCTGTATTTTTGCATTTGTGTTAAATGGCAAACATTAAAGGAGCTACATGTATCTTTACCACACAATCAAAGAATACTGGTGTCAAACCTTTAGTAAAATTGATAGCTTTAACAGTTATATTTTTAATAATCTTTTTGTTTCAGGGAACAAATTTTGATTTATCAGTACATTATAGGCTACATCTGGATAGTTAGTTAAGTTTCTGTTAAAGCTTGTGCTTTTGCTGCCGCGGCAGTCTATGTGACCAGCAGACTGTCTTATGAGTCTATTTATTTTATTTTCCTTTGATTTCCTTTGCCATTTTCATTTTTCATCTATGACACTTTAAGTCTTTGTCAACATGGACATTTTAGACCTTATTCTCACTGTTTGGATATCACTTTGCCACATAATATTAAGTAAACTTTAGTTAGATTAATTTATGTAAAAAAACAGAATAGCTATATGTGTGTGTATATA